CAAGACGAAAAGAAAAGCCATCCGTGAGTTAGCTGTCGGTTGGCCCTGGCTATCCCATGATGTGGAGATGCAGTCCCAGGGTGTGGCAATGTAGAACTGTTGTTCCACCTTGACGGACAGGCGTGAACAGCTCACGGCCTTTCCATGAAAGCCCTGAATGACCCAGGTGGAAAGCATCAGTGGAATGCCTGGGGGGTGGGGGCGGCAGAGAATGCCAGGCTCTTCTGAGCAGAGGAGACAGTACAGAGGGCAGCCGGTAAGAGTGCCTGCTCTTCCACCCTCAGCCTAGGTGGCATAGAATCTCCCAGAAGCTCCATGTGAGCTTACCCAGGCATTCGAGTCTGCTGCTGCCCTTCCTATCATGGGGTCCAGGCTCGTGTTGCCGAGCGCCCTGTGCACACCACCCCTCTAGTCTCCTCTGTCATTTCGTGAGGTTGGTCAGAGAGGCCAAGTAGCTCACACCCAGACCCAGTTACGCGGTAACAGAGCCACACTCATATCTAGGTCGTCCTGAGGCCCCGGTCTTTGGTTCAGCTGCTCCTTGTAAGATGTGTGTCAATCTGAAGCCCCAGGATAGGTGTCCTTGTGCCTCGAGCAATGCCAGGTGGATGGTAGGTGCTCATGTCTGCCCTGCCATCTGTGTTCCCTTTTCTCTCTCTCTCAGGGCATGTCATGAGAGATCATTGACATTGCTCTGGGGAAATGTCACTACCTTGCTGCGGCTTTTACACACACACACACACACACACACACACACACACACACACACACCAATAAATACACGTTAACCAGCTTCAAAATGAACAGGCTTTGGGAGGGAGTAGAGCTGGCAGCCCTGGGCAAATCCAATCACTTGGCAGTCAGTTACATACCAGGGATAGTGTCCCTGCAGGGACAGGGAATGAATGAGGCAGAGAAGGCTCCTGCCCTCAGAAAGGGGCATTAAACAAACAAGAGGAGTGATTATGGGTAGTAGGGTCAGTACTTAGGAAAGAGCAGGAAGGAATGGGTGGCCGTGGAGGTCAGGGTGGGGAACCGACTTCAGGCAGCTGCAATCACTGCCTTGCCCCCATTCCATGCACACAATTGCCCTGAATCCTCCCTTAGCTTCAGTTCTGTTCCTGGCTAATTCCTACTCCTTGTCCAGCATCTTGCTAGAGAGCCCTTTCTTCACCCCTATGATGTCTTGCTTGGCCCTCTAAGGTATAGTTACTCTCTGCCTTCCCCATCCTCAAAGCTAGCCACATAGTTTACCCCCAGTGAGACCTGGAGCAACCATTTGTGGCCCGGTTTCTGCAGCTATGGCATTGACATTAACACACCATCTCCTGCAGACGCCATGAAAATGAATGTGTGGGTAACTTACATTGACATCAGTGGACCTCCCAGAAATCTGCCTGGCCCTTGATTGGCACCATGAAGGTGCTGGGTGATCTTATAGCTTTATGGTCGCCATGATTTAAGTGTGTCTTCCACCTTGGGCCCTGGAGAGCATTGCCGGTAGCATCTCCAGTGTTTCTCACCCTGGCTTAATCCTGGAAGAGCGTAGGGAGGCTTGCCGGGGCATGGATGCCTGGCATTCTCCTCAAGCACACCTATTGTTGGGGTGGGTCAAACATGGGCGTTCTGTAAAGGTCAGGGCAATTTTAATACTCAGTCATGATTGAGACTCTGGTCTAATCCGCCCACCCCTTGTCATAGGTTGAGTAGAGGGTTCTAGAAAAGGGTCTGACTTGCTTAAATGGCCATGCTGCAAGCTAGGGGCAGGAGTCTGGATTCCATCTCTTAGGAGTTTTGTTTTCCAACATTCCTCCCACGCCTTGAATTGTTTCACTGGTTCTGCCCAGCAGAGAGGCTGCAGGGAGCCACGGGTCGCCAGAAGCAGGAGTGCTGAATGCGTGCTGTCTCTGCTCCATTCTCGAGCAGCTGCCAATCTGGTAAGGACAGAGCATCCACAGAAGCAGGTTGCTTTCCTCTGCAGCCAGGACAGTAGGGACTAGGGTGATGGGGGTGGGGCCCCTGCCCAGACCAATGGCTGGATACACAAACACGTGGTTTCCCCATAACTGGGAATCTGTGCCGGAGATTAGAAGGTGAAGGCCTCTCCATGAGTCACGGAGAGGTGACGAAATTAGTCACAGGGACAGCCTCCTGAAAGGCCACACTTTCTGAGAAGTCATCTTATTGGAACCCTTTGCGGGTCGGGGGACTAGCTCTACACTGACAGGGCTTATACACTCAGGATGAAAAATGAAAGGAAGTCCCTCAAATCTGGACCCATTAGCTATGCCAACTTGCCCCTGGAGCCTTAACTGGCTTAACTGTCAAGTGGAGCACTCTCAAAGTGAGGTACCGGTGTGGGTAAAGGGCACGTGACTGTTAACTCATTGATGGGTCTTAATGTTCTGGTCACCAGAGAGCCTCAGAAAAGGACACTGGGTATGACTTCACAACCAGCCTATTTAGAAAGAACAAAATCAGTGTGTGGGTTGGGGGTGGTGACTAGCCACAGCTTTACCTAAGAGAGGTCACCCCAGTCTCATGATTCCCGAGGCAGCTTTTCATTGGGCAAGACACAGGATGAGTGGTCACATAGCTGGTTGTGTGTGTGTGTGTGTGAATAATCGTGTGTGAGCGAGTGTGTGTGTGAATGAGTGTGTGTGTGAGCGAGTGTGTGTGAATGAGTGTGCGTGGGTGTCTGTGTGTGTCAGTGTATAATAGTGACTCACATGATATTTGAAGAAAATGATGCTATGAACACTTTAAAATACAAGGTTTTTAACCTAAAAGTAGACACCCTTGAAAACTGAAGGATGTGGCAACACTGAGCCGAGATTCTCGCCTGGAATTTATATATCGTGTTCCCCACATCCCCACAGCCAGTCCTGCCCACTCCCACTTATCCCCTAAGTACTTTCCACCTGCCCGAATGGGGAAAGATGTTGAAGTTTGCCCTGGGAACCTTTCCGGAAAACCCCTGTGTTCCAAGTCAACTCCGTTGGGCTGACCACAGGACTCCCACTACCACACCTCAGACTCGGTGCTGAAAATCTAACTTCGTTCATTAGCCTTAGTTGAATGCTTTCCCCCTTTTGTGTATTTAAGGAATGGAAAGTCTCATTTTGTTCCCGTAGCAGCTAAGGGAGGTGGCTGCTGCAAACCCATTCTACAGATCAGCAAATCAGTCATTCACAGGGTGTGACCCTTGTCCAATGCTGGGTAGCTAGTAGTAGAAAGACCCTAGGTATTTAGGATCTAAAATCTTTGTCACAACATGAAAGTGTCAAGACAAAAGCCACTCAGTTTAAGAGGTTAGATATTTACAAATTCTGGAACTATAGAGGAGAATTGGCCACCTGTGGTTCTGAGTCAGCTTATGTGGATTCTGTCCTTGATTCTGGGGACTGTGTCTCTTGGGCAAGTGGCTTTGTTTTTCTCGGGTTCAGTTTCCATCTCGTGAGGAAGGAAGTCGAACGCTGGGGTTTCAGGGATGGCTTACAATGAGATGACCTGGAATAGGTTTCCAGAGGGAACCCATAGTTGCGACTAAAACCCAGGCTGGGTAGACGGCTCAGTTGATAAAACATTTGGCTCACAAACGTGAGGAAGTGAATTTGATTCCAAGGCTTGGCATGGTGTCCCACAGGTGTCACGCTAGCCCTGGGGGAGGTGGAGACCGGCTAATAATCCCAGAGGCTTGCTAGGCCAGCAGGGCAGCGAGAGACTCTCTCTCAGTTGGACAGCACCCGAAGAATGACCCTTTAACCTCTGCATATGTGTGAACACACATACCACACACTCACTCACGAACTTACACAAGGGTGGAGCTCAAGTGTTTACAAGTCTGTTTGAGAAACTGAATAAATATACTGAGTCGTGTGTGTGTGTGTGTGTGTGTGTGTGTGTGTGTCATAGCAGGTAGGCCATGAGAGCTTCTTAACACTCACTCCATCTTCCTTCTCACAGAAGGCACCAGGTCGCATATGAGAACACGCTACCGTGAACCTTTGACTAGAACAAAGATAGGAATCCTACAGACTGAAAACCTGGAAACCCTGGGTAGGCTGTGGCCCCTTGTAACCCTGGGCAAAGGGCAGGCAGACTCTCAGGATGCTGGAGGACACAGCAGCTTCTCTCTCTCTAATGCAGACATTCTGGGCAGAGGTCAGATGGTCAGGCTGAGCTGGGCTACTTGGTGATCCTCTGCTTTGGGATTCTTCAGATGGGAATCCCAGCCCCCAGTGCAGAGATGCCTTGAGATGCGCCCAATCCCTTGAGCCAGTGTGGCAGAATCAGCTAGGCCTTTGGCCAATGGCCACTTGAGGAAATAACTTAACCTGGGGAGAAAAACACAGTGTGGAGGTCTCATAATTTGGGACCCTTAGAAAGGATCCACTGAGGGAGCAAGGGACACAGAGTCAGACAGACACCGATTCTAGGAGTTGGGAGTAACAGTTCCCTTGCAAGGGCCTCAGCTTTATCTGAAAAGTAACAACAGGACCTTTGTCACCAGCTTATCAGAATAATCATATAAGACATGACTTGATGGTCAACAGTTAGATGCAGAACATGGTGAAGACAGTTTGTTTTCCCCATCAGGACTCCAGGGACACTGGACTTGGAGAGTTTGAGTTGGACTCAGGACCCCCTGATGTGTCCCACATCTCAGCTATTCCAACCCTTGCATCGAGCCCACCATCATTTTTCTCTACCTTCCTTGGGTGATATCCTTCCAGCAAAAGATACAGCCCCAGTATCCACCAGGACGGAGTCCAGAGCATCAGAACAGCACTCAGCTTTCTCCCACTGGTCCTCCTCAGAACATACCGGCCAAGTCCTGTTGCATGGCCGACTGAGGCCCAAGACCCACAGCTTTTATCCCCAAAGGCAAGATGACCACAAAGGTAAACCATTGCTTTCTCTCTGGCTCAGCCTGTTAATAAATGAGACATAATATTATGTGGCTGGAAAAAAAAAAACAGATTCTCTCTGTATTTTTTTCAGTTGTGACTTTTTAATAGAAGTTGGTTCGTGTACAGGCATTTGAGTTCTTCAATTAATTTCCATCTAAATGAGGTTTTCGGGAGATAACCAGCGTTTTAGCTCCATTTGGACTTAATTTGTATGATGGGAGCCTCTGTTTCTGCCTGTTTCAATTCTCTGGTGACTCCAGCATTCATTGCCTGGGTGATAACTCCCCCACTACAGACAGCAGCACCCAGAGCTGAGAGATGGATGGTTTCCAGTGGCAATCCAAGGGGAGGGCTGGCTCCCCTCCCTTTCCAATACCACTCAATAAATAGGAAATAATAATAAATTATTAAATAAGCCATGGTCCAAGGACAGCCTCACATCATGGTATTTACAATGCAAAATGACAACCACCAAAAAAGAAAGTAATAAAACCAAAAATCAACTCACAAAATGAAAACAGGGAGGAACAACAAAACCCAAATACACAAATGGAAAAAGGAGTTGCAGAGGGTTGGTGATCATGGTGTCAATGCCATTGGCTCATCAGTGCAGAGCGGAGAAGGGATAGAGTTCTTTACAGTGTTGTTTAGTGACGTTGTGTCTGGCCCAAGTCTCTGGTGGGCTAGCTAGCAGAGGAGGAGGGCATGTGTCATTTTAGTATCAAATCGAACTTTCTCCCCATCAGAAAGGAAACCAAAGTGAAAGACACATGCCCATGAGACCATTCGGAATACACACAGAAGAGATGGGGTGAAGGGAACCTAGCACAAGGCTGAGGGTGCGACCCATTTGCACGAGCACTTGACAAGCACTTGGGTTCCACCCCCGGCACCAAAGAAGAAGAAATGTGGCAGAAAATTTGCAAGTTGACCTTAAGAAAGACATAACTCACTGCTTTCCCCACCTTTGGTAGCACCCACACTTGTACTTCCTTTAAACAAACCCTTCTGGGAAAGAGGACGGGGCTGAGAAATGTAAGAATAGGGGCTCTCGGAGGCTGAGACCCCAACTCCTCCCCAACAGCTCCATTTTTTTTCTGCTCCTGAAAAGCCAAGTCGCCTTCTAAGGAGGTCTCAAAGAGAGCCTGGAATGAAGTCCAACTCTGGTGGACGTGAATGGGGTTAGTCCACTTTCTAGCCGCCCAGTAGGCAATCAGGTGCTATTTTTAGCTATTCCTAGGAATCTCCTTAGAGCACTTCAAACCCGTCCTTCCCCTGAGTCTCAGTGGAACTCACTGTGTTTGTTGGCTTTCTTGGGCCTCAAACCAACATCCGAATTATTTGCCAAAAACTACCCCACCTCACTAAGTGGGAACCCTGGTCCCCAGTAAGGTGACAATTAGCAGCGGGAAGGTCAAGGGGCTTTGGCAGCACGTTGTTTAACGTCAGTCTACACTCTCACCCATCTTGGATGTTGGTGGGGGAATTACACCCTCACTGTGAACAGCCTCCGCAACACAGTGCCGTAACCCCACTGTACAAGCATGGCTGTGGAGTGCTTCCAAGTGGAGTTATTCTCCAGAAGCGGAAAGTAATGAGGGCAAAGTGGATAGACAGACCAGGGTCCCATGTTCTAGTCAGCCAAGGTTATCAGTGTCCTGGAAGCAGATCCATGTTTGCTCAGAAAGCAAAGCAGTATAGGAGAGAAAAGGAACGAGGAAGAGAGATGGAGGAGGAGGAGGAGGTTTACAGGTATCTAAACAATCTTCTGACAACTGTTTCCAAGGGAAGAATGATGCCTTGCTTGGGTTAGAGTATGACAGCCATGTTAAAGAGAAGAGTCAGGGATAGAGCGAAAGTTTTACTAAATCCACAACTGGACCAGGCAAGCTGGCCTTGAAAGTCCACGGAGAATGACCACAGAAAGGGCAAGAGCTCGCTGTAGCCAGCAGCCAGAGTCACTGCCAGTTGGTTAGGAAGGCAGAACTGATAAAGGTCTCCAGGACCTAGCTCCCAGAATGAGCTTAGAAATGACCTTTCTGGGGACGTCTGGCTGTCCCCTCCATCTGTACTTCATTGTCTAATTTTGGAAGTTGTTTGGTGCTACCCCAAATGGAACACAGGAAAAGGGCATTTGCTTTGGGTGTTTGGGTGTCCCCCAGGAAGTCCCCTGCCCTCTTCGCAAAACAGTGTTTGTCTACTGCAGACGATGCAGGCAGGTTTTCCAACCTCAAAAGCTGGGGGAGGAGAAGCAGGTGTCTTTCGCTGATATCAGGAAGAGCATTATGTCTTCCTGGGTTTGTCCTGCCTTTCTCTCCCTCTGTGAGCATCAGTCAAACCTCATCAAATTGACACTTTGTCTCCAAGAGCCATGCTACTTAGTATCGAACCCTTCTTACCACAGGGTTTCCCAATCATGAGGTAAGGGCTCTCTCATGCGTGCCACTGGTGTCTCTGAAGACTGGCCGACACATGGCATTCTGACTCTAAGCAGCTAGCCAAAGATTTCGTGATTCTTTCACATTTGCGTAGCGACATTCTAATGTCAGGCCCCAGCCTTGGGTTTAGGCTCATGGACTCTGTGGCTGACTTCATCTTTCTGATACGGTAGTGGTGCCGCACATGTCTGAAGAGCTGAGGCACAGACCTGCACCTCACTGGCAGCAAACTGAATAATGAACCTTGGGACTTGTGTATTTCCTGGTCAGTTCCAGGATGTTCAGGGCTTAAAACATTCATGAAAAAGACCAAGATGCCTCTGACCTCTCCAACCGCAGCAACAGATTTTTTTTTTTAAAAAAAAGCACAAATAATTTAGAAGACCATCCCACCAAATACATACATAATCACATATCTTGATACACAATCTCTCCGAACAAATGAATGAATGAATAAATAAATAAATAAATACTGCTAATGGTGAGAAAGAAGAGCTCATCACATAAATAATAAAAATAAATAAATAAATAGATAAACAAATAAATAAATAAAACGTTTGCTAGGAGCCCTGGGCAAAATGGTCTCCTAGAGTGGTTTTAATGAAGATAGTCTGTGTCTTCGAGAGAGGCTCTCGTGCCTTCCCAAGCTGTCCTGCTGAGGAGGAGGTTTGGTGGCCCCTGGAAGCCTCAGTCTCCATGAGGGAGATGAGGCGGAGTTGGCAACCTGGTGGGGATGAGGGTTATTTACAGTTGCTGTCCATGCCCTCCGGGGCACCTATTCCTGTGCCAGACACCTGCTATCTGGCCTTTTGCGGTGTCAGCATAAGCATCCTTGAGTCTTGGTGGGCGGAGTTTTGGTCTGGGCTGGAAGCCATGGTGGGGAGGCCAGTATGGCCACTGATGCTCCTCCTTGCCTACCAGATAACGAACTTCCCTGGCGCTCGCCGGACCCCTAGGCTTGATAGGTTGGGAGAGATTGGCATGGATAGATCCTTGCTTTTAAGATGGGACCCCCTCCCCCCAGATGTTTCCCTTGGAGCAAGAGGGATGAATAATGCTGGGTCGTAGCAGCCACCGTGTTCCAGTGTCCGAAGTTGGGGCGAGAACCTCTTTCTCCGTGTGCCCTGGCCCTCAGCTGTTGCCACCACAAACTCAACACCTCCTAGACTCTGGAAAGTCAGGCAGCTGGTGAGGGGGATGCCCGTGGGTTTATTTTAAGGACCATCTCCCTCGCCTGCCTGTTCCCAATGTCTTCTGCAGACAGAGCAGCTGATGTTTGTGTGTCAGAGGGCAGCTTGCCCTTGCTGCCCAGCCCTAGGGAGGAGGAAGGTAGAGAGAGGGCAGCAGCAATCGCGGGACTTTTCCTAAACTGACAGCAAACTCAGAAGCCAGCAGGAGCCCCGAGCCATGGACCACTCAAGTCCCTCTGTCAGCAGGCTCTCTGGATTTCGGTCTTTCCCCACAACATTGATCTACATGCAGTGTCCCCGTCTTGAGAAAATTCCTGAGAGGCAAGGAGAGTGGTCTCCATGTGAGATGGTAGGTGTCAGCCTGCCCTGGGTAGAATCCAGGGTGTGGCAGTCTGGGCAATGTGGAGGGGGCTGGCAGGCGCCAACTGGAGGGCAAGGGCAGACTGGCTGGCGCTGGGGGCTGGCTGCTAGCCACAGCAACGGGAAGGCTCAGCAGATGGTCCCGTGGAATCACGTTGGTGCCAGCTACTGGGGATGAGGTGAATTTGGGGAATAGGGCTGTGGCCCAAGGTGTGCTGACTGTTAAATCATCTCCTTATCGTTTCGGGGTCACAGGGCCCTCTGTAAGGGTCTCCACAAAGCTGGAACCCGCTGCAGTCCCTTTCCTGACCAGGATGGCGTACTAGGGGGCAAATTACCTGACTCTTTGCTGCTTGCCATAACTACAGATCCCATTTCCAATCTTCCCCGACATCTACCTCCCCTGTTGATGTCTGCTTTCTCCATGCAGGACGCGGGAGCTCCCAGCTTTTGCCCATGTTGGGAGGTAAAAAGCCCTGAGCTCTTTGCTTGTACTTCACCCTTGGTCTCCTCTCTTTCCAACAATGGGGTCCAAAACGTGCAGCCATGAGACTGAAGGAGGGGAAAAGGAGGCCTGGGTGAGGGACGGATTGACCCTGGCCTCCAGTATACAGCCTGTGAGCAGTGGATGGGTGGAACATGTCACCGCGTGTCTCGGCCAAGCTTAAACTTTTGAGTCATGGATGATAGCTTTCCACAGGAGGCCTTCTCCGCCGGCCCAGGTGCCCCTCAGGATGATGCTGGTAGAGGCTCCTAGCAGCTTGGCAAAGAAACAGGAGTCCCTGTATCCCGTCCCACCTTCCCAGGAGAGCATAGAGGACATGAGCCAGGAAGCCTTCGTATCTGTCACCAGGGAGCTGGCGTAAAGAGCCGGTAGTAAAGGACACAGGCAGAGTACAGAGGGGTCGTCCCGGTGGGCAGCTGGCTCAAAGGAGGGCCCTTGCTTAGCGCCTCGTGCTGGCATAGCTTTCCGCTGAGCTGTAGCTCAGGCTCCGACTCCGACTGCGGCTCCGGGAGCCCAGGCTGAGGCTGCGGGAGCTGGAGCTGCGGCTGGTCCGCGTCCTGCTCCTGGTCTGGCTCCTGCTGCGGCTCCGGCTGGGACTCCGGCTCCGGGAGTAACTGCGGCTGGCAGAGCGGCTGCTGCTGCTGCTGTACCAGGAGGAGGCGCTGCTGAGGCTGCTGGATGAGGAGGGGCTGGGTCGGTAGTAAGGGATGGGGCGTTTGCGGGCACTGTAGGGACCAGAGATAGGATGCGGTGAGGGCTCAGCTCTCAGGGAGCGCCAGTGCTGTTCCCAGGAAAAGCAACGTCCTCCCATCCCCCCAGTCTCTTAGGGAGAAAAAAAAAATAGAAAACTCCAAACCCCAACAAAGCCACAACAAATTCCTCCATTTCTTTTCCTCTCATAATTCCGAGACCAAAGAAAATGCCTGGCTTAGTACTGTTCTATCCTGAAAAAGCGATAATGTCACTTAAAAAAAAAAAAATCAACCATTCAGTCCTGGGCTCAGAGTTCCCAGCTGGCAGCACACAGTATTTGCATCAACACTTTAATTGAAGTTTTATTTTTCTATTTTTACTTTTACTAGAAACTTCTATTTCCAGTAGGCTCTATTTCTAGGAGGGAAAGGCTGGATTTTCCATTTACTGTAGTACATCGTTTCTTTTTTTGAAATAAGTGTATGGAGTGTGTGTGCGCGGGGGGGGGGGGAGGCGGCTGTGGAAAAGGGCATACTGAATTTAAGACAATGGAATACATCCATGACTATGGATGCTCAGATGCTGGGAAGAGAGCACTGTGGACCACATGAGCAGGCAACTCCATCCATCACCCCGGGGGCCCCCCTGTTCTTGTCTTGCCTCCTGATCCTCTCCAGGAAGGATACAATTGACTTCCAGGATTCCTTCCTGTGTGGGTCTCTTGGATGAATGGGGATGTCAGGAAGGATACCCTAGTTTTTTTTTCCCGGGGGGGGGGCACATTCAGCCATTTTCTCAGCTTTTGAGGGCTGAGAAATTCAATTTCTCTCACAGCCTTTGCCTTCTCTCTCAGCTTTTCCCCTCAGATACCTTAGCTGCCACAGGTCAGACCCTTCACCCAGTCTGACTATTCAGTCAATAATGATAGAACACAGTGTGTCCCACTTTTAAATTTACAAGGTCAGGTCACATCTTTTTGTCTCCTTTCATCTCATCCACATGACACTCCCGGGAGTTATGCCATGTCTTGTGGGTGAGAAAACAGTCCAGAGGAGGGGAAAAGACTCCAGGTTCCCTGGGGAAACAGGTCTTCATTCAAATCTGATGGTGCTCTTCATTCACCACGGCTCCTTGGAAATCCCAGTAAGATCGTTTGTGCTATCTGAAGTTGGTTCAGATAACCACGAACAGTTTAATTGTAACCTGGCATCTAAGTAGGCTAGGGTGCAGGCCTAATTCCGTTGAAGAGGGATTTCACCACCAGACCAACACCCTGCCCTGTGGTGGTCTGACCACTCCCTCCCCTTTATAACTCTCTCTTCTTAGCTTTGCCAACACTAGCTGGTTTCCTAGCCTCCAGGACACCCCCAAGGCTGCACGCTACTCCTCGGATTGGTCCATTGTCTTTCCCTGAGTCCCCCTGCAACCTAGCAAATTGGGAGCTTGATAAGATTCCATACTAGGGCAGTCTTTGAGCCAAAAAACACCCCATCATTTTAGGGATTGGAAGGGGCATCCCAGAGACCCCACAATCCTTCAGACCCGGTCTCGGCCCCGAGGTTCACATGGGAAGAAGAAGTGGCAGTGTGGAGAAGGTCGGAAGCACGCAATCCTAGCTTTGGGGTCTCACCTGGTTATCCTTCGCGCCTCCAGGTGGCTTGGGGAGTCTCTCCGGCGCTTCCTCATGGGTGAGTAGGACCGTCGCCTCCTGCGTGCACGCTCTCGGGGCTGCAATTCCTTCTCACCGTACTTGGGATCCCTGCAGCAGCAGGGGTAGGGGGTTGCTTGGTAACCAGGGTTGGGATAGTTTTTCTGCAGGTGCGTGCTGTGTGACGCTCTTAACGGCCCCCGCCACCCCACTGAGACTGGCCTTTGCCAGGGCTCCCAAAGAAGACAGGGAATCTGATCCACTTTGGGAAGAATCTAATTAGGTGAACATCGTGAGGCAAGCTGGGCATGAGCAAGAATGGTAATTTCTGCGCGCGCGCGCGTGTGTGTGTCCCTTGGCAGAGGCATAAAGGTTGGTGCGTGAGAAGGAAAATAGCAGAAAGCCCTGGAGTGAGTGGGAAAGAATTGGGGTTGTGAATGCAGGGGCAAGAGGAAGAACAAATGTGCAAGAAGATGGAGCGCCAGGGCGTGAAAGGTGTATGGGGGCCTTGTTGCCACTCTTGAGTGGACAAAAAGGACTGCAAGAATTCCCGTCCCTACTTCTCCAGGTCTAGGGATTGGGCAGGGCTTCGAAGATTGGTACAGAGAAGCAAGGGGTGTGGCCCAGGAGGCAGGACCCATCCTGGGGGTTGGGGAACGGACGGTACCTGCTGGGGCTGTAACGGGAATAGCTGGGACTGCGACGGGACCTAGAGCTTCTGCTAGGCGGGCTCCTCTTGCCAGACTTGGAAGAATAGCTGGGAGAGCGAGAGTAGGACCTGGGGAAGAAGGAAGAGCACCTGAAGACCTGTGTTAGGGTTGTGTGGACGGCTAGGACTCTATGTACCTGGCCCCTAGGTGGTGCTCTTTTTCTTTGTATAAGACTGGTAAGGGGAGAATGAAATCCTCCCCTTTATGAGTAATTCATAATAATATGGACCTCCTGTTATTTCTGAATGCTTATCATTCTGGCCACTTTTTAATCTGTGTGGTCTTGGGCACGTTCTGTTTTCTCGTCTGCAAAATGGGGTAGTAGTACCAATCCTACAAAGTTGGCTGTTCATCCAAATTTGAGTACATCACTTCAAATACTGATATATATTCCAAGTGTCAATTAGGCAGTACAATGGAAACAGTAACCATGACTATTATAATTTTATTAAGTGACATGCATTGGACTGAAAAATGCATTCGTCTCACTTAATCCTTCACATATCCTAGGGTTAGGAACTGTTATTAATTTCATATTATGGATGGAAAAAACAAAGACACAGAAAGGTGATGTAACTTGGTCAGGGTCACACAGCTAATGGACATTGAACCCAGGGGTGTCTGGCTACAAAGTGCTTTTTACTTCTGCAGATTATAGTCCCCCCATCCCTTACCCATGGTTTTGCTTCTCTATGACTTCATGAATAGATTGTAAAAAAAAAAGCAAGTGGAAAATTCTATAAATAAATAATTCACAAGTTTTATATTTCAAACTATTCTGAGTAGCATGGTAAGCACTGCTGTCCTGTGCCACCCTACCTAGGAAGTGGATGACTTCTTTGTGCAAGGTTTCCATGCTGTAGATGCTGCTTGCCTATTACTGGGTAGCCTTCTTGTGATCAGATCGACCATCACAGAATTGTAGTCCATGTGTGTACGCAATTCCTATTTACTTAAAAATGGTCCACAAGTATGAGAGTAGTGATGTTGGTAACTCATACATGTTATAAAACAGTGGCGTGCTTCTGCTGAGTGAGGGTGCAAGCATTCTCCGTTCAATAAGAAAGGAAACAAAACAAAACAAAACAAACAAACCAGGGGCAGAGCGTCTGTCCTAAGCTATGTGGCAGGAACTGAGCTCTCCAGAAAACAGGAGAGCAGAGCTCATGCTGATGTGGCTACAACACCTCACATTGAAAATGTTCCATCATAGTGTGTGATGGGTGTTTAGTTACAAAGGAAGATGGGCAATGCCTTTATAGGCTTTGGTACTTATCCAAGGGCTTGACTACGGGCAGCCATTGGGGATCATGGACCATGTCTCCTATTGTCAAGAGAGCAAGGACAACTCTTGGTGATGCATCTGAAATATTAGTCCTGTTGTCCATGCTTACTCTCCCTCTCTCACGACACATGACCCTGCTCTTAGAGAACCTCATGGGAGGAGGAATAACTCATTCCTATTGAGTGCAGTTATGCCCCTCCCCAAGAAAGGTGCCTTGCCAGTTTGCTCTTTGCATTTGCATTCAGAAATCTTGTAGAAAAAAATAAAGTAAGTGCTGGTTTTGAGATTACCAGGAAGCAACTGAATTTTGCTTATATGATTGTGGAAGAGGAACAACCGATTTGCTGTTGGAAATTTTTGTTTGAAGAGGGGAGCTGGGCTCAAGGAGGCCATGAGGGTTGGATTAGATGGGCTATCCCAGATCCTGAGATCTCATGTCTGTATGTTCGAAGATGGAACTATTCCATCCAAGGTAACCAAACAAAACCCATGGCTATTGAAGTTGGGGGGCAGAATACAAACAGCTGCAATTCTTTTCTGTATATCTTGCATAACCCCTGAAATGCAAACTCTGTGACTCCTCCCACTAAGGGATAATCTTCTGACTGGGTCTTATGACTTACTAGGGCTAATAGAATAGCAGAGGAGATGGAATGTAATTCAAGCCGAGAAGTAAGGAAACCTTGTACATTCCTGTTCTCTCTCTCTCTCTCTCTCTCTCTCTCTCTCTCTCTCTCTCTCCCCCCCCTTGTTATTACCATGTGTATAAGCAGATAGGCTTGCTGGTTGATGAAAGACAATGCAGAACAGAGATGGCTAATCACTGGATGAATTTCCGTCCTCAGCTCCCAGCCAACTCACTCTTTGGTCAAAAACACATGAAGGGGCTGAGGAGAACCAACCTGCTGAACCCAGCATACATTGCTAATACACAGAGTTATAGGAACTAGGTAAGTACATTTTATGTGAAGGATGATGTTGGTTACTTTTTTATGTAGAAGTTAATTGATACTCATCTCATCCCCATGCCAACAAAAACAATAACAATGAATGTTCATCGTGTTCTAAGTGCCTTCACCCCAGGAATGAGCCATTGGGCCACTGAGTCATGTATTCTTATTATTTTTCACACAAGCGAATAGGAGCTCAGAGATGTTGACTGTCCTCCCAAGGCTGTCAGGAGTAATGCTGGAGTAGGTTATTCAAAGTCAAGTCTTACTCCTCTTCCCCAAGGGGGAATGGGCATCTCTAGTTACCAAAACTCCCTGCCAAAGGGGGACATACAGCAGATCAAACATCAAAGACGTACTCACCTTTTTTCAGAAGAGGTGGACCGGCTCCTTGTGTACCTGGGGGAGGCTCTGTGGTTTGGGGACCGGGAAGAGGGGCTGGAGGATCGAGTGCTGGTGTAGGAGGAGCTACGGGAGCACTCTTTGATGGGGGAGCTCCGGGCTGTGGATGGGACCAAACTAGACTTCTTCACCTCAGCACACTGTAGACACGGAGACTGAACTCCTCTGCAGGACGGAGAACATCTGTCAGTCCCCAGCTGCCCTTGCTCTGGGCGCACCTGGACCTGAGGCTCCCTCTACCACCTTTGACTCAGAGAAAATAACCTCAATTTCTATTTCCACCTCCCTCCTTTCTGGGAAGAACGGTCACGTGACAGAATTTAGAAGGGCTGAGATAGAAAAGGCCTCACAAGTAGAACAATATTTAATTCAATTCAGCATCCCCTAGGGAGGGGACACACACAGGGGCCGCTATAAAGCATTCCAGGAGGCCCTTGTGAGCAAAAGGCTAAATAACATAATGTGGTGAGAGAGTTCTCCTTCTCCCTTTCTTGTCCTTGTCCAGCCCTTCTGATCGCAGGAATGAGAAAGCCAGGGCTGGGTGCGAGTGGGCTATTAACACATCTATAACACTTCGTAATCTCCCCAAGATAAAGGAATAGGCCCTAGGGTCAGAGCCTTGAGCAGGGAGCTGTAACTGACCAGCATTAGACACACTGTCTTAATTATATTCTCATGGGTGTTTTCTATTTAAGACCTATTGTGTTTCAGCAAGGGATATACAATTTCCACACAGAAACAGTGATATGATCGCAATAAGCAAACCAACGAGAACATAGCTTAAAAGAATCAAGAAGGTGACTCGTGGTTAGCTTAAGCTTGGACAACTTTGATGTAGCCCATTTTGCAGATGGAGAGACTGAGAGACTCCAAAGCAGTTGGGTGGAGGCTTGTTCATAATCAGACAAAGGGTAGGGGGTCTTTGTTGTTTTACATTCTCTCTTGTCTAGAACCATTCTGAACTCCTTCGGAGGTCCTCGTGAAGACATGTTCATTCATTAGGCCAAGAGTCAGCTTCAAGTCACATTGATATATAGCCTCTATGGTCTTGGCTCTTGGCCCTAACAGGCTGTCTCCTCCGAAACAAAATGTCCTATTCTGTCCTTTGCCTTCGGACCTTAGAACATGTTGGCATCTGATCTTGCCTTCTCTCATCTTGTCATCTAGCCATTGCTCTACACATGGTTCTGGCTCGGCTTGACCCCATCTTCTTTGAAAAGCCTTTAGAGCAGTCTCTCTACCCGCCCCCCTCCCCATTCTGGGTTGAGGGTTTCCTCTGTGTTACCATGGCTCCTCTGCCTAGCTCTCCGCCATCCCTACATGACTCATTTGGTCTTATGACTATGTGTCTTCCTCCATGGATACTGAGCTCATTGAGGGAAAGGACATCTGCCCCCTGGACTCTCTGTCCTCCACACAAGACTTGTCTTGTCACGTGGCATTTTTAACATCCTGTCTGTGTCTTGGGCTCTCAAACAGCATCATTTCATTTACTCTTCTCAATAACATTATGTGTCTGGCTCTACTGTTACGACCAAAGTATGGAGGAGGCTCAGAAGGATTAGTGTCTTGCTCAAGGTCACTTGGATCTGTTTAGACACACACACACACGCACACATGCACACACACACATATGCGCGTACACACACGCACATACACATGTACACACGCACGCACACACATTCACACATGCACACACACGCACGCACACACACATGCATGTGCACACACAGGCACACACACACCATCCTTGTCCCCTCTCCAATTCCTTACCCTCTGTGTCTATGGTGCCCTTGACTTCCAGCTTATATCTCTTCTCTTTGCCCATATTTATTGAGCCCTTTGTCCATAGCTGGCAGGACATAAATACCCATGATGTTACCATCATTTACATTCCAAAGTGAAAGACTGGCTCTAAATTATTTAATTTGGCTGTCTATGTATATCAAATGAAGCAAAAAGCAGCTGTATATCTCTTGGAGCTGGGGTCTTGTGTTAGAGAGAGGTCTGGACTGGAATGCTGCTATGGCTGCTTATAACTGCATTGTCTGAGTCTGTTTCCTGTCAGCTTACAGAAAGGTTAGAACGGTGCCTATTGCAGAAAGGCACGAATAGGAGCAGAGGAAAGCTAGTCGTGGGAAGCATTTTTTGCAGTGTACTATCTGGCTCAGTAGAGACTAATGGCTTTTTAATTAATTAATACTAATTCTTTATCATCATTATTATTATTGCTGCCTTTTCTCTTGATCCTCCCTAATCACAGCACTTTAGTGTGTCAGTAGATATGTGGCGGCCTTCTTCTCCCGTGTGGGAACTTCACTGTCTGCTCTTGGAGAGGCTGACATTTGCACTGACCCAGCTCTGGCTCCCAGCAAGCGTGGTCATGAGCTGAGGGCAGGGATGTCCCAGAGCAGGCCACCCAGAGACTGGGCTACATGTAGACCCAAGCTGTATGTCCAGCCTGACTAGGTCTTGTGCTAGAGATAAGGGGCATTCTGTCCGTGAAGAAGCTGTGTGTGGCCATCATTGGCAATCTTAGCCAGGTAGAACAAAGCCCCCGTGTTTTTCTGGATGGAGTGTGCTAGCCAACTTCCCCCAACCTTGTGCCCAGTGAATTATGAACTCGGGAAAAGGGGCCTTGCCATTTCCTCACCCTTAGCATCAAGCTGAGAGCTGCCATAGGGTGTGTCTGGTAAGAAGGTGAGGGAGAGGTAACGGAATGGATGGTGCAGACTAGGTGGCCAGTAAATTTAAAGCGCTACTCCTATGAAAGTGTGTCTAGTGGTTAACATTAGGATGTGATTTATTTTTTTTCCGATTCTTTTTTATGTTTGTACATGCATTCTGTGTGCATGTGTGTCTGGATGCGGGTGTATGTTCATGGGGAGGTGCAAGCTGATGCCCAAAGTCTTCCTCCCCCACTCTCCCTGCTCTTCTTTGCGGCAGAGTCTCTCAGTTAAACCCAGAGCTTCCGGATAAGCCTCTTCTCACTAACCAGCTTGCTGGGGGATGCCTTGTCTCTGCCTCCAGAGGGGAGAATTACAGGCAGGCCGTCACGCCCACCTGACATTTACACTGCACGCTTGGCAAACATTTTAAGCACTGAACTATCTCCCCAGCTGCTGTTTGCTGCGGTCACTTGAGTGACAGAGCAGTTGGTGATGAAATGGTGCCATTGTCATCGGCCTGTAAACAAACGTGTGGATGTATGTTCAGAAGGAAAAAATGCGGGTAACAAGCACAGCCCCAAAGGAAAAGACCCATCCCTCAACTCTACGGTGATAGCTATGTGTTTCCATGGATACATTTTATTTTAAAGCCCTTTTAATTTCCGGGCACAACTGAGCACAAAGCATGGGTCTCCTGGTCTCCAGGACCTCATCTCCCACAGCCAGCATCCCTCAAAGTGGTCCATGTGTTAGGACTGAGGAGACAACACCTCATTCCATCACCCAAAGCCCATAAACCTGTCAGGCTCACTCGTGGTGTTACATGTCCGATGGCTTTGGATGAGTCACTGGGTATTTACCCACCATGAATATAGCATGTGTTATAATTTCACATAGCTGAAACTGTGTGTCCTTTGCATAAAGTGATAGGACATTGTTATTATTATTATCATTATTATTAATAGGCAAATAATAGTCTAGAGTCTGGATATACCACAGTATATTCACCTAAAGAACTTGGTTGCCTCCAAATTCTAGAAAGAACGAACTCCTATAATCACATCTAAGCAGATTTTTTTTTTTTTTTGGTGTGAACATGTTTTCAATTTATTTTGGTTAGTACTGTGGCATGTCACCGAGAGGGACTTAAATGAAATTCATGTTAGGCTTTCCCCGAGACTCTTGGTAAATTGGCATCTATTTTTAGCTCCCTGCCATCTATCCATCCCTCCTGATACCAACACTCTGGCTTTTCCTGAGGAGACATCTGGCTCTAACCTGTAACTCAGCACCTGCTGGGCCAGAGAGACTGCTCTGAGGGACTAATGACCCAAGCTGGGCCAAGGACAGCCAATAAGTACTTGTTTTGATAACTTTGCTAAGATTTCTGTGGGGGCGGGGCAGAGGCATGTTTCTGCTGGGGGCGGGGCCGAGGTGTTAGTCCGCTGACTGATTGGAGACACAGGTGCTGAGCATATTTGCAAAGCTCTGGGAGGGTCTGCTTGAGAATGAAGCCAATAGAGTGGAGGAACAGAGCTGAGGTCCAAGTCAAAAGATGCAGGAGCACACTTTGAACCCCCGGGTCCTGCTGTACCTGAATACCTGAAGCGAATGTGTGTGTGTGTGTGTGTGTGTGTGTGTGTGTGTGTGTGTGTGTGTGTGGAATGTTCTTTCTTTTGCGAATGAAGCCGCCCAGCAAAGGTAGGGTCCTGTGATGAGACAGCAAGAAAGTGACGCTGAAGCGGGGACCCTCCCACCCCCAAAGAGGGGACCCTCCCACCCCCAAAGCCGCTAACCTTGACTCACTGCTCCTGCAGGTGGGAGAGACGTTCTCCAGAACAGCCCCCTTGTTCTGGGGGGAGGAGGTGGTGAAGGAGTTCCCTGAATCGGAACTGTTGCCGCAGTTGAGGTCCCTACTCTTGCTCAGACCCCCGCCGGGGCTCCCCTTCTCCTGGCCCCGCGACCGGGCGGAACTGGTTTGCGTGGAGGGCGGCGAGGACGTGTCATTGCCTGAGTCGTACTCCTGCGAGCGTCCTCGGGGGGCGGTGAGCGGGCTGGTTGATTTGCTAAAGAGGTCAGCAGCAGACCCCGACCCAGAGATCTGAAAGCAAAAAGACCCGTCGGACACTGCTGAGCTCCGGGCTGTGCGTAAGTAACCAAGAATGTAAGTAACCATCATGAGTCACTGTAACGAAAGCAAAGAGAGAGGGGAGAGAAGAGACGCCAAAAAACAAAAGCACAAATTCCTGAAAGAATTCCACAGAAATAGGAGACCTCTAGGTATTTTGTTTACCCCCTGCTAGAATAACTGGAAGATTTAGGAATCATGCAGGGAAAAAGGCATGCGATTCAGATTAAACAAAAGTAAAAGGAAATTATACAAAACGTAATCTCTAACGAACTCAAACAAAAGAGACAAATCAATAGAAAGGGGAGGGCTGTAGACACCCTTAACTTCAAACAATAATAAAAGGAAAGGAATGGGGGAGGGGAATAAAAGGAAAAGGGGCTTCAGGCCTCAAAAATTATATCTTGGAAATTAAAAACACAAAAGGAGATAAAGGCAAATTTTAAATTTCAACCCAAATCCTCAACTAACTTTTTTTTTTATTTTTTAAAGAAAAAGTTGCCTGAATAAAACCCTAAACAAATGTCACGTGGGCCAAAGAAACAAAGATGAGAATTGGTTTCTTTCTTTTCTTTTTTCCCTTTCTTAAAAAAAAAAAAGTCAAGGTTGCAAACTGACGTTGGAGCAATTTCCAAGTAAAGAAGTCAAGAGAGGGAGGGGACAAAATAAATGTAAAGTCAAATAGTGTGGCTGAAAACAAAGAAACAAATCAAAAACAAAACCAAATAACAAAAGAGTCTCTACAGGCATTTGTGCGCGTCCTTCCCCCTCGAAGGAGGTAGCTAAGCATCCTGAGTGGCTTCTAATAAATTCTCTCATGTCTTGGCGGATTACGTCACTTACCAAGCAAGGACTCCTCCTTTAGTAGGAAAGGTGTAAGAGAAAGGGAAGAGCGGGCAACGTGAGTCCATCATCAGAGGCGTAAATGACAAGAAAAAACACACACCTTCCTACACAACCTTAATCTTTGGCTTTGGGGCGCTCAGAGCAGATCTCTCTCTCAGGGAGACCTAACTTCATCCACTTCGCCAGTCCCTTCCTGCCCAGGTGGATGGTGGAGACCTTCACTGTGTTGGTACCTGGAGCTATGGATGGTACCACAGAGACCTAGCCCTGTACTCCAGGGGACACCGGGGACGGATATGTGATTTCGACTGGAAGGATCTTGGACATCAGGGAATGAAGATGCCTCAGAGTCCTCTTTTGGGACTGGCCTAGGAAGACTGAGAGGTTTAGGGGGTTGTGGGGAGTTAGCCCTTGGGAAGGGAATTCTAGGCTGAAAATCTGTTTTCCTTCAACGTTTAGGTCAGGCTGTGGCTGAAAAGTCACAGTGAATTTGCCTCTGGCTCCTAGCCGTTGTACCACGCTTAACTGTGGGCAAGAGGGATGCTCACCCTGGGCGTTTCCTAGCAATACATCTCTATGGGGAGGAAAAATCTGGGTGATCAAGAAGTCCCTCCCTGGAAACCACACTTCCAGAGTATTCACTCTGGAGTACTTGGGTTCCCCAAATTCTCTATTTAAATGGTTCCTGAGCCTCCCTCTGGGTATAAGCTTTCTCCGCAGATCTGTTTTTCCGTAAGCAACCTCTGTTTCAAGTGGGCCATCTGGACAGAACATGCGTGATCATGTTGAGGTGTCCAAGTGCCTGTGTGTGGGGCCCATCACACAGTTATTGGTAACACATGGGTGGCAGAGGTAGGAAGCCTGAGACCCTGGGGCAGCTTCTTCCTCACTGCCATGTTGTATGCTAGAGCAGGGAAGGACCCAAGCTTTTGAATTTAAAGGTAACTTTCCTTTCACTGTGCAGACATGCTGGCCTCAGCCGCTCAAGAGGGGACATGCTTGATGACTTTTTGAGTTTATTTATGAGCACTCAGGCACCTTGGCTAGTCCTGTAGTCTGGCCCTGGGCCTTACACATACTAGAAAAAGCTTTCCCATAAAAAAAAAAATCCATTTTCCCCCAGCTTTATCCCCTGCTTTTCAGACTTGCTAGAGAGGGGACACTTGAGCTTTCTTAAGAAACCACTTCTGCCTTGAGGGGGAACTGAGAGTCACAGAGAGAACCCCGACGGTTTGGAGTACCAAATCCTGGGGGTAGGAAGCAGGACGTTTTTTCTGGTTTCTCCCAAGAGGCTTTGCACATGGGCAAGGTAATGGTCTAGCCTTAGCAAATCCTGCCAGTGCATCGTGATTATCTGGCAATGGTCTAGCCTTAGCAAATCCTGCCAGTGCATCGTGATTATCTGGTAATGGTCTAGCCTTAGCAAATCCTGCCAGTGCATTGTGATTAACTGGCAATGGTCTAGCCTTAGCAAATCCTGCCAGTGCATCGTGATTATCCGGCTACTTTGCCTTGAAGGTGGCACCTCAAACTGAAGTGGCCAGGTGGAATTTTCTAGAAGCTCTTTTTCATATAATATACAGACTTCGTTCCCATTCAGCTCCTACTAAATTGGATGACTTTTTTCCCCCCACCTCTGATGTCCAATGGTCTCATGACCATTTCCTTTGATCACCTCTATTAGGAATAAGAAATGACCATGACGGTGATGATCTGAGGTTTTAGACTGGGGTTTGGACGGACAAAGGACCAAGGGATTTTTGACCTGGAGTGAATGGTGGAGTGGCCAGTACATTCGAAAGCAAGCCATTCTTAGAGGGAACAGGCTGACAAGAGAGTTCAATGTAGTATCTTGTAACTTGCTCCCTGGGGCATCTAGACTGGGTTTTTCTTCTTTAAGTACTTTCTCCTGGTATTGACTATAAGTTCAAAATCATTTGTTTTACTGATATGTCATGGTTCCCTGTGAGCAAAGATTTTGAGTATGAAGTCTCTCTAGGATGGTACATCCATATAGAAGGGGGACCTTGCCTTCTGCACACAGTGCCCCACAACCCGAGGTCACAGGGTTATTTGCAGAGTGTCTCCACTGGCTATAAGTTATGCAGAGATGGCTTGTGTGTTTGACCTGATAGCTCTGCATAGGATGATGCTTTTCATCACCAGGACATAGAGATAAAGTCCTGCTGGGGTGCTCACTCTGGGCGAGAATGCCAGGGTACACAAGCCTCCTGGACGCTCCCACTTCTTTAGAAGTCCCATTCCTTCGGTTGAATCTAAGCTCACTGACGTGAGTAACAGTGTTCTTTACAAACCTGCCTCACCTCCTTCATCAAACAACCCTGAGAACCTCACAGACCACCCTTCTGTAGCCAGCATGTGTTCTTGGTTTGGCTAACACACACCACAGTCCCATCTCCAGATCATTTACATATCCCGTTTTTCCTCTGGGGAAAAACAAAAACACTCTTCCTGTCTCCCCCACCTCTGACCTTCTCTGATCACCCAGAGAACGCCCTATAATTAATTAGATCCATCTTTCGACCAGCTGCTCCCTCCATATTAAATGCCTTGTTACTCAGTAGAGATGGCGACTTATTTGATTGTCCCTCTCTTCACTCATTTGTTGAGAGCAGGGACCCTGGCTGGTGCATTGTTGTACACCAGGACCTGCCTCAGGGTAGCTGCTTAGCAAACCTTGCTTAAGCCAAACTCCTCCCTGGTCCCTTGGGAGCTGCAGGGACACAATCTTTTGTAGAGGTGCCTGTGTGACCAGACAGGAGTGGAGTCTGCTCAGATGGATCCCTTTTTGGAGAGAGGACTCATTTAAATCATAATAAAAGCAGCTCCATAAAAGCCTTGGAGTCTTGATGCCAACTTAGGGCCAAGGATTAAATCTGGACCATGGTGAGAAGAGAGGTTCCCCCTTAGTTTTTCCTCTTCTTCTGAGTTCTCCCTGACCAGGGAAGCAAGAGAACCCGGAGGCTCTGCCTGCACACTCTCACCGGCATGTGCTCTAGATCTCAGACAAGGATTTTGAGACCCATAGAACCTCCTGAAGGAGACAAGCTACAATGGCCCACCTCGCTTTCTTTTCTTTGTTCTGATACTTTGGAAGGTCAAGTTGAAAGAGGTACCAAGAGCCCGGAAATTGGTACGCAAAGGGCTGTTAGCTTTAATTCTGGCTAAGCACCTCAGGCGAAGGGAATTTTTAAAAAGTCATCCCTTCAGGATGTCATACCACTTTCTGGAGCAGCCTGGCTCACATCAGTGGGGTTTCGCTTCTCGCTGGCTTCCCACGACATGGCCAGCATCACCTGATGCCCCCATTTAGCAGTGCCCCACTTTATTTGCCCCATTTAGAGGATATTGTGGCAGGGATAAAGGAGTCATCTGGAGCCGTTTCAGTTCTTTGTTCATATAAACACTGTTCTGTTTACAGGTTTTGGTGGACTCTGTTTAGACGTTCGGATGGGAGGAATATTTTAATAAACCTGTCATTGGAGGTATATGCCCTTTAATAGCCCCCTAGCCCCAGACTCCACCTTCTTCAGAGGGTTCAGTTCACTCCAGAGGAAGAGGAGCAAAGTCACAGTGGAGTAGCCCAGAACAGAATGGCTCCCCCTGGGGAGAGGGGCAACGGAACCAGGAGACTGAATGTTGTGACAGGGGACAATGAGGGCCTCTGTCTTCTTGCCTGTGTCCCCTCGTCTTGGAACATCTTCATAACAGATATTCCTCACGGCACACAAGACACGAGCAATCTCCACTCAGCATCGTGATGGTTGGATGGCTCCGATTTGCTTCTGGTGACACACACTTGTGCTTATAGCCCTCTCCAAAGCCGTCTTTGAAGAGCTCGCCATCCGGTAGGGATGTCTAAGTGTTCAGTGGCTCTCCGATCGTGTCTACATGGCTGCCCAGTGGCCCCCAAGTCCCTCGCAAACAGAAGCTACCACAGACCCCTCACCATCTAATAATAATGGCCCCATAATTCCGGGATCCCCTGAATCCTCTTACTAGAGTTCTCGTCTCTGGTTTGCTATCATCTCTTCGCCCATCTCAACCTTAATTCTTCTTGTTCTGTCCTCTCCACAGCTAATCTTGGCTGAATGGCAAGAAAGCTG